ATTTCAATTTATCTGCTACAAGATGCAAAATAACTAATAAAAAAAAAACTCCTTCACCGACATGACGTGTGTCAGAATGAGGGCGTACATATTTGGCATTCACCCTCCCACAACTCCATGGTTGGCTGTGTTCCTCGCTGGGCGCAGCAGGGACTCCGGGCTTCTCCAGTTATGGAGCCGCTTGTCTAACATGTATGCTACCCTGCTGCACTCCGCTCCTCTAAAAAAAGGCTTGTTGTTGAATGGCATACGTTATGTCCTACAGTCCACTAGTTTGACTTCAAAAATGCTGTATAGCAACTTGTAATAAACTTGTGTTAGAAATAAAATGTGCTTGATGCAAAAACAATAACACCAAACTTTGAAATGTCACGGTCTCCACGACATGACTACAGGCAATCTTTCTCATCTGCTCTGGTAAAACTCTGCTCCCTTCAAAAAACAAAGAATGTAAATGTCATGTTCTCAGATTAATAATGATGTTAATGACACTTCAGTCTGATGGAAGTTACCCACGATTACTTAATGATTCCAGACTCTAATTTACAGTGTGTTGTGACTTCAGAAAAGGAAGGAAAAAGAATAAATCTCAGCATGTTTTTCTTCATCTTTTCTTTACATGGCATACTTTTGTGTCCAATCTTTTGCTAGTTTGTTGTATCTGAGGAGAGAAAAGAAGAGAGTGAAGTGAGTGGATGATAAGCTCCGACACCATCAGCTACACACATTGTTCACATTGATATGAGTGGACAATAAAGCACCACTTGAGCCAGAGTGCGTACTCACTTGTCTTTGTCGTTCTTGTACATGTGTGCTATGTCTGGAACTAAGGGGTCGTCTGGGTTTGGATCACAAAGCAATGAACATATGGACAATAAAACTGGAAGGAAGAGGAATTTAAAAGATCACATTAGTTGGCATGTAGATAAAGGACGTTTAAAATGAGCCTGCCCCAGATAGATCATACTCGCAGTCTCCAGGAGTGATGACTGAGTGAGTGAGTGAATCATATTCAAAATTTTGATACTTTGGCAACATTGTTCTTTATTGTTGTTCATGTCATGCTAATGAAGCCAAAGTGATTTGATTTCATTTAAGAGATTTAAAAAGTGTGGTACAAAAAAATAAAAAATTGCACACAACATTACTACAAATAATGCAATTTGACAGAATTTGAGATAAAGTCTCAAAATCATAGTTTTACAGGTACCCTTCAAAAGGTCACTCCATCAGGTGACTTCACAGCCAATAATAATATAAAACACAGATAAGATGAAAAACTGACATGGTGCAGTAGTGTTGCAGTTATAGTTGACACACTGAGCGACTGCAGTTACCTTTAGACACCGTTAGTGCTGGAGACCACTGAGACCGTAGAATGTCCAAACAGATGCTCCCATTGCTGTTTATATTTGGGTGATAAATCTTAGTTGTAAAGGCTACCTGTAAAAAGAAACAGTGACACACATCATACAGCGTGTATGAGCAGAGAAGACGCACCACCACACAGCGGAGGAAATACAACGGTAGATGTGCATTTCAGGTCACCTGCCACCATGGCCGATAGCTTTTCCTTTTATTAATCAAAATCATTTCTTAAAAACTAATTCCTGAATTTGAACTAGTGAGGGATTAAGGTTACATGATATACTCCGTATTTCTAGTGCCTGATTCCACTCTGTTGATATTCTGAAGCGTTCTTCATGAGCTAGAAGCAACAGGTGAGGAAACAACTCGTCTTCAGACCCTGCTGTTACAGATACTGTACTAGTGTTTGCCTTGTAGCAAGAGGTTCAGTCCAAAACGTGGCTCCAGTGCTGTTTACAGTACTGACCCTGTTCTACATGACGGTACCACTGCTGAATGTAGGGAGGACAGTTGGGTGCAGAATTGCTGTCAACACAAACTAAAATTAGATCATATCATGTTTTCCTGTTACGTCCTTGTCAGGACGCTTCAGGACCAGTAGTGTTCAAAAGACATGTGGTCAAATGCACCCAGTCCACTTCTGCAAATGGTTTGAATGATCGGATCACAAAGTGTTTACACATGTAATTAGCGTTGTCCATTTGTGATCTGATAGCCCGAGACTCGTCCTAAAACCAAGTGTAAATAGGGTCTAAGTGTGGGAGAACAGTGTGCATACTCAAGACCTGCTAAGAATCGGCCTGTAGTATGGCATTGGGACACAGCGACAGTTGTAATAGTTCCGTTCAAGTGGATGGATGCATGGACAGTATGTTCTTACAGGTCCAGAATTTTCAGTTTGAGAGCATCTTTATTTGTATTTTTAACTGTGAGCGTTGCCTTGTAACCCCCTTCTATCAGCTAAATGTTGCCTAGTAATCAGAGGCTCAGGTCACGCAAGATCAAAATGACTGACATATGAACAAATTCTATTTTCTCAATTTGATGACATATGGCAGTTTTTAAGCAAGAGGTCATGCTATAGGTTTGATAATACCCTATAAGATTGTATGTTTCATAATGAATTCTGGAAGAAAAGCACCCTCTGCGCAAGTACTGGCTCAGAACAAGCGTCCATTACTATGATGAATGTAGAACTTGTCAGGTATAATCCCTTACCAAACGTATGAGACAGGAGACGTTTCCAGGACCAGAGGGCTTCCTGACTGCACAACGACTACAATAAATTTAAGAGCATGTCAGGCCGAGGCTTTGAGTAACCAACCAGCTCTTACCTTTGGTGGCTTGAATGGGTAGTCGGTGGGGAAGTGGATTGTGAGAAAGAAAACTCCTCCTTGGTAAGGACTGTCACCCTGACAAAAAGACAGAAAAAGTGTTCAGCAAGACCCAAATGACTGACAATCAGCACAGAACCGCTTTAGATTGTGGCCAGCTGGTGCCGCTTTAAGGCGTAGAGGTAATTAAAGCCCCTAGACCTAACAACTAATAAAATGACCACTATACCATGACAATAAGTAAGTGTAGGCCTTCCAAATAAAGAGGTGTAGATAATCTGTTGGTTTGTTTCCAACCTGTCTGATGAGGCTGTGTATACTTAAGAATCTGCCGATACGGCACGTATCACTATACACGGGTTAGGATTCAATACTGTCAGCAAGGAAACATGTTAGGATTTATTCAAACAACATTTAGGAAAACAGTCATAGTATAAAGAATACACCCCCATATGCAGAAAATCTGAGTTAATCTAAGTTTTCTTTTATTAATGCAATCAGAATAGCAGGATCTGCGTTTTCATTTTTCACAGTCCTGTAACCTCCAGCACTACTTTTTGTGCAATCTGAGCCACAAGTATTTGTTCATATTAGAATTAATAGTGTTTTTGAGAATCGATACGATATCACAAATCATAATACTGGGATACTCAGTGTTTAGATATTTTCTTACCCTACTGATGACAGCTCACCTTCGGAGATCCCAGTAGTTACCATAGTGATCAATTCCAGTTAAAAGCAAGCCGGCTATTTGATAACACAAGGTTAAGCTAATTTGCTAACTGGACTTCGTTACACAGCTTCCATTTGAGAATGTTTCAATTTCAAAATAATGAACATCAGCAATATTGATCCCTACTGCAGAATCTATCTGAGAGGCTAGAGATGTTTAGTTCTGTAGTCATGTGTTCAACCTGTTCTTACTCACAGGCGTCACTTTTTACATTCACTGTGCCCAACATGTCAACAGTATTGTATCTTGTCACAAATATCCTTTGTCTCCTTTATCTGACAATCTGTATTTGCTAATAATGCTTAACAAATATTAGAAAACAAACAACGTAAGTGCATTGAGCCAGAGTTATATGGGGGGATGCAAAACTACTTTACTAATGTAGCACAGTAGAGTCCGTATGAGAGGACTGAAAGCCTTAAGTGATGTTGTGATACTCACCGGACCCATTATGGTCGCCTGCCAATGAAACACTAAAAGCAATTAAGGGAGAAAAAAGGAGACACAGGAAAATATCAGCTGTACACGTCACAGACAAATGTTCATCAGCCATCATAGGCTTGTATTCATTGGCGATCGGATCATATATAGACAACTGACGGGATTAACTAACTTTCTATTAGCTTTAAGAAGTCTCTTTTCCATGGATCCGACACCCAGCACCTTATGCCTGTCAGGATCAGGCAGTATCTATTTCTTATACCTTCCTAACATTTCACCGGGGTATACCGTATATGACAGCATTTGTGTTTTGTTTGTTTTTAAAGCTGCGCAAAACTCGATTTGTCACTAAACTTACAATAGCTGGTCCACCTTAAAAGGTCAGTCCACCTTAAGTGAGACTGAGACAAAGTTGTCGATGACTTCAGGAATTGCCGCTTTCCCCCTGGACCATTCAAAATGGAACTAATCCAACTACAGCGGTATCGGATATCAGGCCAATACTGACTCAAATAGCTGGATCGGGTATGGTGACAATGGGGCCGATCTATATACTATATACATTATATACAGAAATAGTCATTCCTGTTTAAGTTTTGACCAAGTTGTTGCTGCATTTAAAAAGGTTTATACCTGAATTGTAGTTCCTGTTTATTCTGAAGATTTTTTACAGAGCTGCTGGTGCACAATGGATGTATTTGAGTTCAAAGATTCACTGACTGTGTAGTTCATTCACTTCTTTTACTAAGCGAAGAGGTCGCATCACTGCTCAAATGTACTTCAGTATGCGCCTCGGTAAATGACCGCATTACCGCTCAAAGACATTTTAGTATGTGATGCGTGAGAAATAGTGACATGAAATGTGCATGTGTAGCGTTACTCACAGTCATCGCCCACTGGTCCAGCAGAGCACTGTGCTGGAGGGTCCCTCTGCAGGTCATGCAGCTCCTGCTCAATGCAGCAGAAATAGGTAACAAAGGTTAGTTATTCGGGCACTGATTTACTTCAGTGAAAACTGAGTGGGCACCAACGGGATGTTTTCTCTTGGTATTCCTGTTGATTGAAGTTTGAGTTTCTGTAAGCGACATCCCTCTTTGTGACTAATGCCGATTATATTTATCCACACAGTTTTGTTTCTCTATTACACAAACTATTAGACTAAAGACTTCCTTTCATGTTAACCACATAAGTATTTCAAAGATAGATATCAGATAACAGCATAAACGTTGACAAAAAGTGGCTTTGACGTGTGCTCTCCACCACGATGGAAAAGGTTAATACTAAGCATTTACAAATCAAGGTAAAATATGGCAAGGTACTCCAAGGTTGTAAATATAAAAAAGTCCACTATCAATTTGTTATGTCACTAATTTACCAACATCAGCAACATCAACTGGGTAGAGGATGCACAGTGGTTTGGGTGTGGCTAAATGTATTTGCGCCATCAGCTGCATCAGTTTTCACGGTGCACCTCACCACATACACACATCCTTTCTTTACGTTTCTTCTCCTGCACATTCCCTGACAGCACTAGCTAACTAGCAGGGCTATGATAGCAATAAACTGAGCCACGGTTAGAGATGAACGGCAGTATGTGTTCACGAGTAACTTTTCTGGTCACTGCAGTACTTGTCTACCGCCACGAGGACGAGGACAAGTACAAGTAGTATGACAGGGCTGTTGTCCGGTTGCTTAGACAAGCTGGAGAACACGCAGAGTGACAGCCTCAACAACAGTGACAGACTGGCATGGAAGCAGCCAGGGTAGTTACTAAGCTAGCTAAATTACTGGCGAGCTAGCACAGAACTTTGAAGTTGTCATTGGCCGCTGTATTTGTTCTGGGAGGTGTCAGCATACAAATTATTTCCCAAAACGTTACAAAGTTAGCCAGAAGTCACTTTAATGCAGGGATAGTGTCAAACTCGTTGTTAATAAGCCATTTTGTTGAAATTAACTCTTACGTTAGCTTCTGGTGGGCCAGCTACAATTAGCTGGCAACCACAACTAGTCAGTCAGATTTACCTTCTGTATTCTTTTCAGTGCCATGTTGACTGATGCAGTTTGCTCCTGAACTCACGTCGACTCGCTCTTTAGTTGAATTTATTGCTGGCGAAGTCAACGGCTGTTGATTATTCCCTGAGACTTCGACAGCCGGGGATGCGTTTGTGTTTTTGTGAAACCTCTTTTGTTTCCGCTTCCTCCTGTTTACGGTCGCTCCTCCGAAGTGGATCATGGGAAACGTAGTTCGCGATTTGGCGTAACCGAATATATTCTTGAGAATGACTCTTGGGTTGATATAACTTCTTATAATCTCAGTTTCCGATTCGTTTAAAGCCCATTGAAGGTTTATCTATGCTGTGGTTGCAAATTATGAAATTTTAATATTAAATGAGCATGTAATAAACGATCATAAAAACAAAAAAAACATGAGGCCTAATTTTGATTTCAAAAATACTTCTCCAGTCAGTGTTGATTTAGAATACATCATACATATTGAGGAATTTTCCATTAACCTATATTTTCTCTCATTTATTATAAGTTACATGCACATCCACATGTTTAATACCTATTATGTACTTAATACAGGCCCATCTCAGAAAAGTAAGCATATTCCAAGGAAGCTGATGGAGGCTTTATTGTTTCCACAATAGCCTACTATTACATCCTAAGGTGATGATTGTTAACAGATGAAACATGGTATGGATGGAAGACAACAGCTGAAATCTAAGCTTCTTTTTTCTATTTAATTGTACTACTTTCCCCAAATAACTTGAATGCAGCATTAAACGGGCCATAATTTTTTTCAAAGTATACATGATTTGCAAAAACACCTGTAGTTTATAAGTGCAGTTGTGCTTGTCTTCCAACAGCTGGTGCAGTTTAGAACATTAGAAGTGTTTCCATGATGCCCAAAAACATACGAGTCACTCTAAGTTGATGATTTTCAGAAGCACCTATAAGAGTTGCTCTGCTGTGCTACATCCCTGTAATCTCAAACAAGAGTTTTCAGATAAGGGCCAATAACAAAAATATCCTTTCCATGATCACAAATATCCATTCATCCACCCTACACAGATCATCGGTCACATTCAAATAATTTGACCTGAGAAAAGACACATGGAGAACATCAAACTAGCAATGAGTATGGCACACGATGGACAAAGAGCAAGACCTCCTCTGCTTGGTTGCCGATGAAAGGATCCAACGAGTGTGGCATTGAAGATGATGTCACGGCAGTCCCTGTGGTGGGGACTGAGGGTGATAATCGCAGTGGAAAGCCAAACAGAGAAAAGGGACCTGGTGCCAAAGTGAGTGGGGTCGAGCCGAACCATGCCGTGGAACTGAGACATGAGGAACAAAAACAATACGATCTGACAGGGAACAGGTGGAAATGAGCCAATATACTGTTTACACTGCAAGGCTGATGTGGGAGGAGGGAAGAGGTGAGCAGGTGGGTGGGGCTGTCAGGTGATGAGGAACAAGAATTTACTGCAGGTCAGGAGGGCAGGAGGGAGTGGTAGGCTCTGAGATGGCAGGAGAGTTTGCAGGGGAACGAGCAGACGGGGAGAAAATACAAAAAAGAGCTGAAAATCCCTTTGACAACTAAATTCTTCTGTAAACCTAATTGTCATTAAAAGCATTCATGTTCAATATAACACACTTAAGGATGAGTGTGTACATGTAAAATGTGCCAGGTATAAATAATCAAGCAGGACATACTTCCTCAGAAATAATTATGGTAATTCATTTTGGCACAGCCCACTAACAAGTACGTTGTATACTTGACAACTGAGCATACTCCATCTGCTTATGAAGCTCATGAGATGTGGTTGAAAGCTCCAAAAAAAGCTAGTCAGATTACATTGTGAAATAAATACTTTGGTTAAGGCTTTAGAAGACGTCCCGCCACATGCAGCTTGTTCCCAACTGTGTTTCCAGTGCAGTACTTAGCGATGCATACTGTACCTGGAGGTACAAGGGAATAAGATCTGTAATTAGGGAATATGTATAAGAGTCTGGGATCATTTATACTGCAGGTATATTATCATGAACAGATGCATATTCTAACATTACTGGGTAGAGTATGACCTACTGAGCAACAAAGCTGGACATTTGGGGGAAGGAGGTTAATGAGTTCTGTTGCACTTCATAAGTCTGTTGAGATTTGTTTCAAAATGGCCATGTACTACAAACTACATTGGACATTTCATAAATGAAAAAGTATTTTTGTAACGGTTTACTTATCAACAATTTCCACTTGCATCCAAAACTGAGCAGACCTGTTGTAAAAACCACGCCATGCCTGGTAGTTAAGTATAAAATATTTTCTGACTTCCCATTATTATCATTATTATTATTATTATTATTATTATTCCCCTTAATCTGACATCTTCACTTGTACCTAATGCATGTATCAGTGGGACTTGTACCAGTAGCTAGTATTCTGTTTTTAACGTGTTATTAACAGTTTTGAAAACAGTGTGTTAGCATTTGAAAAATATGCTGCAAATATAATGTGTTCTGCAGGTGGTGGAGTGTGAATGACAAAAGAGTTCATGGATTTTGGAACATGTGGTCGAATGAATTTTGTGTGAGAGCAATGAAAAGCGATTCAGAGTTTGGTCCACATGGACTTCTGTTTCACTGACTGTGTGAAGAGTTTTGACAATGTGACTTCAGTTTTGACTAATGCATGTTAGCAATCAAAGAAAACTGTTATCAGTCAGTTTTCCACACATCAGTTCATACTGGACTGTGGAAACGAAGGGGTGATTATTGACTTTAACAAAGATAATATGAAGAACATAGCACATTGAGGTCTGAGCCTCTATGTTCGAATGATATAATACAGACAGAAATCACGAGCCCAATCAGAGTAGTGATTGTATTCGTACATGATGTAATACAGATGTAGGCCTACAGCATAAACACAATCATTATGTTGTTATGAGCAGGAGAACGGACTGGGCAACACTTCATTCTAGTGTAAACAGAGCTGTAATCTGTTTACTGTTCCAGTATTTGTGTTTATGGGACTTTGGGCCAATAGGAGCGATATCATGAACTTTATAACAGATAAGTTTAATTGTCATTGCAATTAGAGACATGGACCCGTCTGGAAATCTTATATGACGGAGATTTTCTCAGGAGGGTTCATTTGCACTCAGATCATTTATTTCATGCATTCCGTTACTTTGTGCACAGTCGTATTTCAATCAAACAGAATGTTTGTAGCACATTTTTGGTCCGAGAGAACTCAAGAAATACTCCAGTACCCTACTGTTATCCATTGACACTGATGGTTTTATTGTAAGCAAAGGTTGTCTTTCATTCTAACAAATTTATTATTGAAGGGTCGGGAAGTCCACTCATCGAATACAATGTGTGAAGCAAAGACAAAACCAGAGGCAGACAGCTGAGAAGATTTAAACATCCCCTACAAATGATGTTCATATGCAGGTTATTTGTACTCGAGATCCTCGATCCCTCATAGCATTCAGTTCCAGTTCAGAAAGAAGTGTGACATTCGAATGGCACTTGCTATCTACAGCACACACTGCCTATGATATTCTACTGATGTAAGAGAACATCATGAAACTCACTGTTAGTGTAACAAACATTATGTTACTCTATGGTACATTCAAAAAAATAAAATAATTATAATAATCATAATAATTATAATATTAACATAACGGAGGGTTTTAGTGCACTAATCCAGGTTTGTTCATATTAAATGTCCCGGTTCAATTCAGCAGTTTAGACATATTCACATTTTATCATCTGGTTCCCTCCCACAGCACCACTGGTTTTGCTGTACACTTTCCAATACCCAAAAGCAATGGAATTGCTCTGTCATTGACTGTTATTATTTATAGGTTCACAAGCCCCCGAGTGTCAGAAGCATCATCTGAATGTGCACAAACACGATTATTACAGTTGTGTATAATTAGTCCTAGATCCTGACAAAGTTGGACTTTGCTCAGTGCTGATCTCAGCACTCTAGCTGTCGAATAAACTACAGCTAATAAAACTCACATGCTCATGCCTAAAATAACGCCTAAATATTTATATTGGTGGGGATATGGCATCACCGTTGAACCAAGATCTAATTGCTGCCTGAAATGTACTATTTGTAACTCCTAGGTAACACGATTTCAGTTAAAGAACTAAATCAATAACATATGTAGAAAACTATGTCAGTGACAATACATCGTCAAAACAAAATTGTTGGGGAAACCATCCTGTTCTAAACGATGATTGGGGGACAGGCAACAGGTGCTTGATGAATAGATGTGTCAGTATACCATTTTTCCATCTACTACACTTAAAGTTAACAATCTGTATTGAAGGAGGTTTCAATTTACCCAATCCCTTTTGAAAATAAATAAAAAATACAATTGTAGATCTTTTTTCCTTGATTCTTACTCTAATAACTGAAGTAACAATAATTATAAATGATTGATACATGCTATTGAAGACTTTTTTTCCTCATTCATCAGCGAACCTATTCTGTCCAAATGATCCAAGTGTTGACAGATCTGTTTAGGCTAATGCCTCTAAAAGGAAGGAGTCATTTGGGACAAGGTCTTGATGATTTAGGATATGATGGTGGTATACCACTGGTAAGGGATAACGCTGTTCGGCAATAACGAGCCTGAAATAGTTCAAATAGGTCTTTTGATTCAAAACTGTAAGCCCATTCGGCAAATAAATAGAAATATCTATTTCACACATAAACGCACTACACCGTACGGAAAACGCAATGAAATCAAGGCGGCTGCTGTTGCCGTGAAGGTATCTCGTGTTTTGCGACAGTAACGGAAAGTGTCGCAAACGTGTGGGAGGCTTTGGGCACTGTTTGATACGTAGTAAGGTAGCCGCCTACACTGACCTGGATATCTACAGCTGAGGGGAAGTCTGTCGGTCCCTTTTAATATCATGGATTTTAATACGACAACGCATCGTGTTTGTGCTCATCTTCAACGGATAGCCCTTCGTCCTGAAGGCGGTTGTACAGCAAGTGTGATGTCCCTCTGGTGTGCTGAATTGTGACGCGAGGAGGGGCTTGCTAAGCAGCCTAATGGACAGTATCGATGACTTAGCAATCAAAACCAGAACTGAATATCCTCTCTATGCAATTATATTGTCTCCATTCGCCCTGTCTGCTTCTCTGTTTGCTGACTGGAACTGGATATCACTCTTGAGCGTGTCGTAACATCACCTTTTCATAAAGAAAACAGTATTTACATCTCTGGAGCGAGGAAGTGGAGCTGCGTCAGGCTACCTGAACTTGATCAAGATAAGACCGGACGTTGGGTGACATTGCCTTCGTAATAAAGGTGGCAAACATATTTGTTTTTGACATTAAACAACGATGTTTGGGATTAGACGGAGACGTGACACTTGGCTTAAACGACAGCCGGCTTTTGAATAGCAACAGAGATCTCCGCCTTCATTATTACCGTGGTACCTACGTCGCCCTTCGTTTTATTTTAGAAACCGCGAGCGGAAGTTGTGCTCGGTCCTGCTGTTTTGACCCTGGTAGGAAGTGGGATGTGGCCAGGGTGTATTTATGCTTCTGTTTTAAGATATGAAAATCATTGATTTAGCGCTGCGTCGGGAGCCCTGTTTCACCACCGGACACAGCGGGGATTACGACAGTGTTGCTGTCCGTCAGTGTGGTTGTTGTTGGCGGTCGAAGACGGCGAACACGACCGAAGCTGCTGTGCTGGTTTCGTCTGGACTGGACTATTTCCATGAGGGCTTCTCAACCTCACGTCCTAACAATTTGTGTGCGGGACTGTATTTTGTGCTTACGTAATAACAGTATGTGAATCGATAGTCATATCGTTGACTTTTTTATTTTATATTTTTCTTGGACAAAGACGTATTGCCCCCCCCTCACACACAGTTTTATATATATATATATACATTTTTTTTTTTTTTTTTGCAAATGTCAACAAGTCATCGTCAAGTGATGATGGAATCCTCTCTAGCTCTCGGAAGACTGGAGCTGACCCCCAGTTCAGGCGCTGTTGGGGTCAGCCTGACCCCGCGGCTCACCGGCGGCCACCCCGCGAAGGAGACGTGCGGTCAGCGGCCACTGGGGCCACAAGGCCCGGCTCATCTGAACGGCTGCGTCCCGCTGTCACATCAGGTGGCGGGTCACAAGTATGGAGTGGATACAGTGGGTAAGTACTTACTTCCCTGCAGTTATAACTTTTTTATTATTAAGACCTGGGTACTGAATGTTGCTTGTCCCACCTACATGCAACTGACATAACGAATTGTTTAGGTTCAGCGGACAATTCGGCCTACAAATAACCCACCAACAGTTTGGGGAGATCAATTAGCTGGAAGTGAAAGATGATATTTATGGAAGACAGGTATGAGTGCTGTCAACACGAGCAGTAAATTAGGAGATTTTGTGATATAAGTTTGGCTTGGTGAATTTTTTTCCATGCAGGACGAAGCAGCATGCCTAGCTAGGAGTTAGGATTCCTACACCTGTATTACTAATTAATCAGATTATGTTTCTCACTCTGTCTGTACTCTACTGTACAGCTATAACTACAACTTCACACGTGGTTCCCTGCACTAAATCTGATCTGAGATCATTTGTGGATTTGTAACCATGACATCCCCGTGCCCCGGTCTCCCTCTAGTCTTCACTGGCACACACTCACTCATGTACACAGGACAACTGACATTATTAAAGCCTCCATTGTGTGCTATCAGACGAGGTGCTGAGCTGAGCTGAGTGCATGTTACACTGGGCAGCTGCTGGTAGTCACAGTAGCTCTCAGATGGGTCAGTCAGTAACCTTGATGAATGACACACATTTATGTTGTGGGGCAGGCATTCTCACTGTGACCTGCAGTCAGCCAGGACAAACCTGTCTATCCACCAGTTTGTATTTGGCTGTAGTGTTCCTGTTTAACATGAGCCATTTAGATGAAGTGTGTACACCGTGTTTTCTTTGGTGTGGTGGTTCAACATTTACTTCCATTCCCTGTGTTGAATTACAGACTCACCAGGACTGTAAGCAGAAGTTTCCTGCCTGTTGTGTTTTTTTTAATGATATATATATATATATATATATATATATATATATATATATATATATATATATATGAGAATGAGTTTCAGTCTCAACTAGTAATGCTGGTAATCAGTTATAACTTCATGAGCTCCTTGTGACACCAGGGACCATAAATCAATGCACCAGGTTCAGTTAAATGCTGCATGATTTTCCTCTGTGGGTAATCAGTCAGTGTGAACACAAAATGGAGCAGAAGTAAAACGCAGTAATGTATCACCTTTGCTAGAGCTATAGTGATAAGTTCATTAATTGTTTACATGATTCACAGAAAATTAGAAATGTCTCACCATTATAATATGCGTTGTTGTATATTGGTCCCAAGAAGTAAAGGAAGGTTGCACCAATCCACCGCTTTCTCTCCCGATACCAGTTTGATACCTCAACTCTCTTTTGCCCAAATATAAAATGTGTGTACCTCACCACGGGGAACTTCCTGGAACTCTGCATTAGCAGAGTCACCTGGATCCAAATACCTCAGTTCTTCTTATTAATGCCTGTCTCCATTGTATTCGTAGATATAAAGAGTTTCCACACATTTCCTGGTTCCAGCTTCTCCAGTTTAACCAGTTTCTGTTTTTATTGTTTGCCCATAGTCAATTTTTACTTTCCCTTATACAAATTGTTGTATTTATTAGCCGTCATCAAATAACTAAAAAAGACAAAAGTTAACTGTCCCGTTTATTTATTCAGAAGGAGGTGAGATGTCTCCTCAGCTTCCACCGTCTTCAGCTCCAGAAAAAGCCGATATGTAGAAGTCTTTCTTACCACTTGTTGCTAGATTTACTAGCCCAACGAGGTATTTTACCGTCCCAGGCAATATATAAATAAATATATTTGGGGTTTGGACTAACTGTTCATCACCCCGGCCTCTCGGATGGGAATTCTTCACAGTATTGTGACATTCTATAAACTAAAAAATCAATCGATAAATTCAAACAATCATTGATTGAGTTATCAATAATGAAAACAATCATTAGCCCTAAAGCTATATTGCATAACATTTATTTGCTAGTCACTTAATTCCCCCAAATATTCCAAATGGAAAATGACATGAATAGGTATTTGCCAGGCTGGCAACCAGGCATCAACATTTGGTTGCTGTCACTGAAATAATGCTTGCCATTTTTAGCCATCTTATATTTTGAGTAATGGGACATGTATACATCTCAGCTCAAAGACGGAGGGACACTTTGCCTCCCAGGACAAATGTCCTTTGTCTTTGTCCTTCACTTTCATCTGGTTCTTTGTCAGTTGAATCACTTTGTTTGTGATGTTGGTGGGTTTGTCAGTTTACAATTATTCCAACAATTAATGAAAATGTTTTTATTTTTAGGTGCACATTTGGCTGTTTGCAGTCCTTATTTTTTTATATGTTAAAAAGTGGTTGCCCATTTCTCAAACCGGTTACATTGGTGTCTGTCTTTAATATACTCTGTCGAATATTTCGTCCTTCCACCCCCAGTGCAAGGAGAACGAGGCCTTTAAAGAAGCAGTGATACAGTAATGTGGAATGAAACAATCATTAACATAACGAGGCAAACTAACAGGCAGGGAAATGTGGAATAGACACAGTATTGAGACTGAGCCAGCAGTTCCCTAATGTCTCCAGGACAGTTTCAGAACAAGCAGTGGAATCCTGTTCAGCTTGTACTGTTGCTGACTGAAAGTGATCCTGCTTACTCCCCCCACCCTTTCTGTTCCTCCCCATAACGTCTCTGTTGGTGTGTGTAGTTAGGTCATAATGAAGTTACAGGCTCTGATGCAAGACAGAAAGGCAAAGGTGAAAGTCTGCTGTGTGACTCAGTAGTCCTCACCTGTGAGCTGCTGCATGGTGATTGTTCATGTGGAAGGCGGGGCAGGTCTTTGGAACAATTTAACCTGCATGAAGCTACAACTGTCTTCACGACTGCCGGTCAGTTCTTCACAAAGGACGGCTGGTCACTATGGTTTGAGTGTTCTGAGGTAGAGAACCAGTACCAGTCCTTTCAGAATGAGGCAAACATTTACAGTGGGTGGACATTTCAGCAAGACAATGATCCAAACACAGCCAACGAAACTCTCAATTGGTTTCAGAGAAAGAAAATAAAGCTGCTAGAATGGCCCAGACGATCACCTGACTTGAATCCAATAGAAAATCTATGGAAAGAACTAAAGATCAGAGTTCATAGAAGAGGCCCACGGAACCATCAAGACCTGAATACTGTGTGGAAGAATGGGTCAAAACCACACCTGAGCAATGCATGCAACTAGTTTCTCCATACGACGGGCTGTTTTTCCGGTGTAACCGGTAACTCCACACATGCCGTGGAGCTCTAAATGTTTGCAGAGAGAGACATCATGTTTCTGACTGTTAGAGCCAAATATGGTGTTGTAAATACAACTGTATTTCTCATGTGTTGGGTGGCGCTGTACTAACGTCCTGGGCGCAGGTATACAGTATAGGTCCTGAAATCACCGTTGTTGTCAGGTGTTTGACCCCGGAAGGGTAAAGGGTTTTGACCGCTTTACGGTAACAGTTTGAAGTGTTTCGGTAAATGCTCCGTTTAATGTCGGTTGAAAGAACGGGACTGTCTTTACGTTGTTCCACGCCGAGAAAATAAACAAACTCTCGTTCAACAAACTTGTCTGTGGATGATGTACCTAATGCGACACACATCAATTGTGACCTCCGGTCATCTAGACGTACAACCAGTGCGTCAACCAGGTCCTACCAGTACCTTACAGTAGAAGACTGGGCTTCTTTAACACGGACTATCCTAGACGGCTTTCTGAATACCAGAGTCCATGTATTTCTTTCCTGTCTACCTGCTCAGCAATCTGATTGAACTTGTGAACAAAGAGTGATTGTTTGTGAGGATGAGTTTCTCATTGACAGCTCATGGAGACCGATCTGTATTAAAGGCCTCATGCTGCTCTCTGTCTTCCTCTCTCAGAAATCACCCCATCCTTTTCTCTTCTTATTCTTAGTCCACATAGTGCTCCCTCAGAGTTCATGATTCAACATTAAACATTAACTTCAGTTGTGCAGAGCCAAGTGTTTCTGTTTGAATGCACGATGTGTTTTACATTTACAGAGATTCACTGCTCACGGACATGCAATAGATTTTGACTGTGCTTCAGTACAAGGGTTGGAAACAGAGGACCGGGTGCTTCTTGTCAGCTGTTACTTCTTATTCTTCACCGCTTGATTTTTTTAGTGGCATCTTTGTATTTGTTGCAGGCATTTTGCAGCATCCAGACGGAACAGTCCTGAAGCAGCTTCAGCCTCCACCCAGAGGTCCACGAGAGATGCAGTTTTACAGCACGGTAACAGCCTCTACAACAGTATCAACACCTGTAAAATGGTTATAGACATGACAACAAGTGTTTATATATTGACTAGCTTTATTATGTGTATTGAATAAAGTGTTACAAATCATTTTTTAAAGAATAAATCCGGTAACAATCTAGGTGAGATTAAGGTTGTAGTGATACAATATGTAACACACCTTCTGTAACTTCACCATTTCTTTAGTGCATGAGCTGTTGCCAAACAGAAAAGTCAAGCAAAGTGCTTCATTGTCCAAAATATCAATGAGAACAATGCACCTAATGCGAGAACATTTTCGTACTGTTAACTTTCTTTTCCTTTCTGTGAGTACGGGTGAGCCTTTATATTCAGCAAACACTCCTAACTTTGACTTAAACCGTGTAAACGACCAGCGGGAACATGATGAATGTGAATAAATGAGCGTGTGTTCTAGATTAGCATAATCATCGCCCCAATAATACCATACAAGTCTACACGTACCGTCCCATATGTCCTATGATGAAGTCCTGCTCTCTGAGATGCATAACGGAAAGTTTATCATTAATAACGGCGTCAGCAGAATTAAGGGATGTGCTAAAGACGAGGACAAATGAGGAGTCCTGTTAGTGTCACCTCAGCGTCGTACTGTCACTGAAGTAAACAGGAAGTGGTTTCATATGAAAACCGGCTCCCCACAGCCAGGCGTGGATGACTGCAATGGGAGAGGGTCAGATGATTTAAGATGCTCATATTAATATTGTAGTGTTACACAACAGCATCTACAGCCAATTTAAATGACTGGTGATACTGTTGGTCTACATGAATGCATATAGAAGGACATTAGGATGCGAGTCCGACAGGAGAATGTCAATATAATTATTATGACGTGTAATTTATATAGAGATTTTTAATCTCATAATTGCTTCAAAGTAATACAATCCATTAGTGACAAACATAGGATAGCAGCAGACTCATGTTACATCACTCGTAAATTGTGTTCGTACCATAAAATTCAAAACAGGAGGAACTTGATGAGTGCGGCAGGTTGTCCTAGAGAACAGCTCTGTTGGTCCCAGTGGTTCTTGCATGAGGCCCAGTGAGCGTAAATATAACCTAATGCTACACTGTGCATTGGGTGCCTCGGCTTTGGTTTATATATTACAGCTTCAGTTATATTTATGAATGATTAATCTATTATTTTCTCTTTTGAAATATATTACAGTGAAGAGGCACATCTTCAAATTCTTTGAGTTGTTCTGATCAACAGTTCAAAATCCAAATCATTTACAAAGAGCATCTTTCATATTGAAGGCATTACTGTCTGAGTTACTTCAAAACATTCAAAATAGCTGTCGATGATTTATTTTTTGTCAACCAACTAATAGACTAATCATTTCAATTCAAGTTGATCTCTCAGTTCATAGTTCAGCATCACATTGCATATGGTCAAATATCTTCACATTTCATCACGATGCTCTCACACACTGTATCCACTTGTAATTTATAGTTTGTACGCAAATATTGGGACGGACCACAGAATGCAGATCCCACTGTCCTGACTGCATTCTACTCAGATTTAATGCAGTGTGTTCACTTTTCATAAAGACAGATTTATAAAAATCACAATATATCGCCTTGCTAACTGTGGCAATATATTGAATGGATGTGAATGCATGGAGAAATGTAAATGCTTCGTTATCAGCGTAGATATCAGACATTCCACATGGGTCTATGTAATCACATGGGTCTATGTATGTGCGTGTGTGTGAGAGATTTGCTTTGGAGCTTAGTAGCACTGTCAGTCTCAGCAACTCTCAAACAAACAGGAGTGAGTCATGGTGTGTCTGCCTGTCTCTAAAAGGATCCCAACAGGGCTGGGAGTCCACTAACTGTACAACAGGTCACATTTCACACAAATGTACGTCTGTGTGTTGTACTGAACTTTGATCATGTTCATGCTGACACATTCAGATTTTTCACTTTCCATCAGAATAGTTTTTATTTTTATTAGGGTGGAAAAGAATAATTGCATTGGCGTTCTACTGAAGATCCCCCGGGTCGGTGCTGATGATGCATGAGTCCATCAGCAGATCTTTGATACCTGATTCATGACGTCATTACTCTAACTAACACAGTTCTAAAAAAGGTTCTTTCTTCTCCAACGTGAGAGGAACGAAGCCGCTTCTGTATCGATTCTAAAAACTCTGTATTGATTTTAAATTAATAGTTCACACGCAAAGATGAACTCAGTCAAAACTTTCTTTCATTTGCAAAGAGTTGTGTCCTCTCAATGTGCTGGGATGTTGGATGTTGCAGGGACTGAGATGAAGGCAGATGCAGATTCCTCTGGCAGTGTGTTCTTCATACGATGACATTCTTTCTGAAAATTAGATTTTTTTTAAATCGCTTCCAGTGTCGCAATATATTGTAACTCCTTGTGATGGATATTTTTCAGTAGCTTATGACATTTGAAACAACAATTCATTGAGTGACGCACACCGTAATGAAAATAATCACTAGTTGCAGCCCTACACTAAATATACAGTGTCCACATGTAGGTACTGTATAGTATGTTAATGTGTGTGTGTGTGTGTGTGTGTGTTAGGTGTATGCAGAGGACTGCTGTGATCCATGCCTTCTGCAGCTCCAGAACCATCTGCCCAAGTACTACGGCACCTGGTCCTCTCCTGACAGCCCCAATGGTAAGAGACTGACCTGTGTGTGTCCACCTCTCTAGAGTCCAAGTCCAGAATACATGCAGGTCAGGTGAACCGGTTTGTCCTATCGGATACTGGTATATAGCCTGACCGATACTGGATTTTTAAAGTCAATACTGATAAATGGGGGGGCAAAAATCCCAATTTTGTCCAAAACAAACAATGTTGATTTTTGTTCTGTGGGGACAAACCAGATAACTGTAGCACCAGATTTAATGGAAACACTAAAAATACTTCCTACCCAGTTTGGCGTTCCTGTCCTACAATGTCTTGTTATGTACAGCAAGCTGTTCTCATCCACTGCTCGTACTTCGACCTACGAAAAGTACTGCACCGTAATTCATATACGACCCACGTCATCGTGAGCCCCGACATGCTGGGCTGCCTCTTAGCAAGTCAGGTGACGTGGTACGAAGAGCGACAAAGTCTGTGTAGGAAGAAGTCTGGGTGGATGGCGGGGTCAAACATACACAGGACTTTCACCCAGGAGACTGCCGTTTGTGTCGTTTGTGAACCAACAGTCAACTTATTTTAATAACAGACATACTTATTTGAACCTAAACCGCAATCTTTTCTGCACCACAAGGGCTTGCACAGGGGCTCTGATCGCTCACCTAGCTGGACATTTGTAGAACGCACGAAGAGTGAAAAATAACTTCAAATTCACTCTAAGGAAAGATGGTATTGGTACAATTCCAGCTATGAAAGCCGAATACCTTGAGCTGTTAATTCTTCCTCTTCTAAGATATAAAGTCATGCAGTCAATAGTCAAAAAAGTCACATAATCATAAAAGAAACGTGTCATTAGGAATATTCTTTTTTTTAAAAAGGCCAACATCAGTCTCCTATGAACAAGCTAGCATTGCCTCCATACATCCTCACTGTTTCCAGACCTGTACCTGAAGCTGGAGGACGTGACCCGGCGCTTCGTCAAGCCGTGCATCATGGACGTGAAGCTGGGCCGGCGGAGCTACGATCCGTTCGCCTCGCAGGAGAAGCGGGAGCAGCAGATCAGGAAATACCCACTGATGGAGGAGATAGGCTTCCTGGTCCTCGGCATGAGGGTGAGTTTGACCTGCTGGTGTAGGGGATCTCTAATCCATCAATGGAATGGTCTCCGAGTGGGGTTCAGATCACATCTTTGTTTCCTTTCAGGTTGAAACTGGTTTACTGGCACTCCACTAGAACTGATCTGAACAACAACTCGGAGTAATGCAAGTGCAAATGGGATGAAAGGCACACATATGCACTGTCCTTTCCATCTTTGAGAAGTTCAAATGTAATCTTCTTCTTCTTTTTTTACAGTATTCATGGTAGTTCAATGGAGAACTACCATGAATGGTGCTTTGGGGTCTCTGTATTAATTATTATTATTTTATATTAATTAATTATTAAAACTGAATTTGAAGCTCTGTGTGCAGAATGACAAGAATATATTAATCCAAAGCTGGTGACAAAACCCTAGAACTACGGATCAGGGAGGTCTGTCACACTGCAGCCGATACGTTGCCTTCGAAAAGGTTGTTTTAAAGTTTAGATGTGTATGTTGCAACCGCTGCCGTCAGGAGGCCTTTACACACCGAAGACGTGACGAATAAACAACATGATAATGCAAAAATTCTGTCCTGCAAATATTTTTCATCACACCGGCGGTGATGCAGATTTGAGACAGTGGCAACACTTTTTTATAAAGGTTTGAATGGAGTCATACAGGCAGAGGGTCCAGAGCAGCGTCTGGAAGGCTGTCTGAGGTAAACTGTTGCTCTGAGGGAATTTGAGTTCCCTCTGGTAAAGAGTTACGCAATGTGTATGTCCAAGGCTTTTATTGTGAAAGGTAAGAAGAGAAGGCGTAGATCTGGTCTGTTCGCCTTTGTCAAGGTTGAAAGGAGTAATAAAGTTTTCCGTCTTGGTTGGGAGTATGGAGCCTCCGCCTTGATGAACATTATAAGTTTCGAATGTGTCCGTTCCGCACAACGTGATTGGTCGATGCCTTTATTCGTTAAGTACTCAAGAAAAAAAAAAAACGGTTTAAAAATAAATAAATAAAAGTATGTGAAAACTAATCACACAAAATAACTGTAAGCTTAATTGTATTAATTTGCTTGTACTCCGATCACTTTTAAGCTCCATACAGTAAATGTCAACACTTGTTGCACAGATGTGCAAAACAATTTACAACTCTACCAGGGGGCACAGACAGGAAGTAAACAAAATACATTTAACAAACAGTGCAGCAGTGTAGATAAATGTATATACTACTAACACAAATCTTTAAATAAAAGCATAGTTTTCATAGCTTTATACATATCTGCTATTAACATGATAGCAGAAGTAACTGATAACACCTTTCATACGCGGCGTGATGAACAACATAAGGTGCTGTTGAACCTCCTGAAGCAGGTCAATGATTAACTATCTGAAATATGTTGACATTGTTGACTGAGCGGTACAGCCCATAATGCACACGCACACACACACAGTGGAGCATGTAAATAGCTGCTATTCATCTGTTTGTTGAATCTCTGTAGAATCCGACAGTGCAGCAGTAAACACGCCTCATGAAGAGTCAGATAGAGAAACCTTTATCGCTTCCATCAGTTTCCATTACAACTTACTGACAGCATCATCATCCGTTTTCATGCCTGCAGCAGGAAGCAAACGAATTTGCGAATTTGCATTAATTTCTACGAAGTTAATGCTGTGTTCATATTGAGGTGGAACACTGGGCGTTGAATTTGAAAGGCACGGCAGAAAAAAGAACCCATTCAAAAATAAGTTGTCAAAGTTGTTAATGGCAGCCATTGGGTGGGACAACAGTCCATAAATAGATATAATAAATATCCACATTTATCACCATGACCTTACATAAGAGGGAGGGTAACCGATGAAGGTATGGGTGAGAGTGGCTGGTATTCAGCTAATGAAATGTGTCATTTATTACTAACTGCAAGTCTTTGTGTACTGAACCCGCCGATTGATGGTTTGACCTGATCCTCAGTGTAAACCTTATGGCTGTATGTCTCCACCCTTTGTACACCGTAGCGCTCTGACTTTTGTTCATATGTTCTCTATGGATTCCTGTACAGGAGGTCAACTTCATGTTTGATGTGTGCTACAGCAGCGTGGACTGAGAAGTGACAGCGTATTACTGTAAAACATGCACATTTAAACTACTACCCTGCACACGGCCAACTTTCTCTAGCAGGAATGTATGCGGAGGGTGCTGAATTATCCCGTATTGTCTAATGTGCTGTAGTGTAAAAAGGAACTTAACTTTAGGCAGTACCAATCCACAGTTTTATATGAACAACAGATCAGATGATTATTTATAATGTTTCAAAAAGAAGTCTGGTTGTATAGAAGTCTATGAGAAAATGACTCTACTTCTCTCTTGATTTATTACCTCAGTAAACATGAGTTTATGGTCTCAATCTCTAGTTTCAAGTCTTCTTCAATAAGCAAGCAAGCAAAAAGCATGATGTTCATTTAGTAAATGATGTCCATTTAGAGTCAAACAGACCATAAAGCAGGGTACGCTTTAGGGCGGGGCTACACAGTGATTGACAGGTCGCTACCAGAGCTGTATACGGGGTCTCAACATCACTCCTCCACATTCCAAATATGGTAACTTCTGTTCACTGGTTCCAAAAAAGCCAAGATGGCAACGGCCAAACCGCCGAACTCAAGGCTTCAAAACGGCAGTCCACAAACCAATGGATGACGTCACCATGATGACGTCCTCTTCTGATAGTCTATGGTATAAAGCCACTGTACACTAGCTGCTCAGCACCAAACAGCAGACCGTTGGATACTTTGGTCATAGTTTAGTTTGTTCAGCTTCCCCCCCGGTGGCCAAAAGACAATCCAGCGCCGCTTTAACTAAAACCAGTAACGCCACAAGGTACAAATACTCCGTTACTACATTCAACATGTTACTTGACTAAAAGTGCAGTAGCACTATGAGGCAAACATACTGTTGAAGAAAGATAGAAGTCTTCTTAGAAATTAAAAAGTTGAATTCATAAACAATATTAAATGTGTGCTTTTCAAATCTCTATGAAGTAATTTAAAGTAGAAGTATCTCAAGATTGTACTTAAGTACAGTACTTCAGTAGCTCCAGTAGTTTCAGAAATGTATTTTGTGGGTGTGAATGAAGTTGTGTGTTAAAATGGGCTCAGAGGTCCAAGCTGTCCTCAGATGGTCAAAGAACAGAGATAAATCAGTAAAGTTGGGCTAAACTGTGCCCTAGAACAGGGAGTGGTGCTTTGAGTAGTTCCCATACTGTGTGTTTAGAGAGGAGACTAATTGGTGGTAATGACCTCCCTGATGGAGGAGTGATAGTGTGGGAGGAGGAGAGTCGGAGGAAGATAAGAAGAGGTGATTAAGAGGTGATTACTGCTGAGCAGAGAATCTTCCTGTGAAGCGTTTCCCTCTCTCAAGCACGCACTAGAAACGTGCCACCCTGTAATAAAGTTGCGGCTTTTATATGAACTTTTATTTGGTTGTATATTAGATCATGGATTGAGATGGGTAAATAATTATGTTGCAGATCATTTTCAATAATCTGATTGACTCCATCTAAAGTCATAATTGTATTGTCATTCTTTCATTGTGACTCTTGTGTCTGGTTATGACTTCATGCATGTGGATCACCCTAAAACGCCTGGGTCATGATCCAGCTTACTGACAGGACGCTGCACTTCTGCAGGTTGGTCCTTAAGGACAAAACAAATTGCTAAAGGACTCGAAAAAAACATCCAGACTCGAGTCATATAGTCAGCGTAGATGGAGTTTGGAGAAACAGCAGTAGTACCAGCGCGGGACTAAAGCACTGTGCTGCTGTGGACGGGGGCAGCAGCAAAATGTGTTTTTGACACTGAAAGAAAATCTAAATCTGTTTAAGTGTACGCTGATTTTGTAATACTTTTGCAGGTTTACCTTGCCGTCAGACAGCTACATGGTCTATGGTTCACACAGGGAACTGAAGCCTGTTTTCTGTGCTCCAGCTGTGTTTGGAAGGGTTAGTTCACCAAAGTCACACACTAACACAAACAAGCTCACCCGTTGAGGCAGCGGTGGACCAGCAACTCCTGTGTCCTGCGAGGTCAACTTTCAGTTAATTTCAATGGAGTCTGGTGGCTTTGACCAGTGCATAGGTGGATACAAGGTGAACCGTCCAAACAATACTCTAAATATAGTGCACACTAAGGGTCTAAAACACATTGTCCTGTCAGCGGTAGTCAGTCCCATGCTGCGGAGGCAGGTGTGAGTGCAGCTATGGACCACTAGATGGAGTCAGTGTTTCATCAGTTAGAGAGAAGCAGCACTTCAGTGGTGGTCAGCGTGCATCTCCACACATCTGTCACTGTATGCTGTGAGTTGAGAGAATAAGACTGTGCTGTGAGCAATAGGACCTGTTCCACACAATACGACACGCGTATGTATATATGAAAACCTTCATTAGCATTTTGTGCCATGTTGTTTGTCTTCTTCTAATTCAGGTGTATAAGATGTGCAGTGACACGTTTGACTCCTACAACCAGCACTACGGGAGGGGACTGGTTCAGGACTCCATTAAAGACGGTGTGTGTGTGTGTGTGTGTGTGATTTATGAGATTTAATAAGTGATCTACCACCACTGACAATAAAGTGTAGGAGGAACTTTTCCGAATAATTTAAGTATATGTAACTCTCTCCTCTTCCCTTTCCTCTTCGCTAAACTCCTCTCCTCTCCTCTTACCTTTTCTCCTACCTCCTCTCCTCTTCTCTTTCATCTTTCCTTTTGTTTCCTTTCCTGTCTTCTTTCCTTTCCTTTACTCTCCTCTTTCCTCTCTTGGTCTCTTTCATCCACCTTTCCTCTCCTCTCCCTAAACTCTTCTCCTGTACTCTTACCTTTCCTTCTCCTCCCCTCTCTTTCCCCACACCTTTCCTCCTCTCCTCTTCCCTTT